CTGATTCCTCCTGTTTGAGACGTTGAACCCTTTGACTAGCATCTCTCCATTCCCCTAAGTTCACAGACTTTGGTAACCACTGTTCTACTCTCTGTTTCTATGACTTCAATTGTTTTAGATTCCACATATACGTGCAAGCATGTGCTGTATACTATATTTTCTTTGTCCATTCAGCCACTGATGAACACTTAGGATGATTATTGTTTATAATGCTACAATGGACATGGGAGTGCTGATAGTTCTTGGAGATACTGATTTCATATCATTTGGCTAAATACCCAGAAGAGGCATTACTGGGTCATATGGTAATCCTATTTTTATATCAAATTACTTATACTAAAGACCCTCCATTGGTTCTTTTTCTACTTATTTTATAAATGACTTAGATTTTTAATATGTAGAGCATCCTTATTAAATATATGGAAGATACAATGTTGGGAGTGAGAAACAGAAGACTAATATATTGAATGACAGGCACTGATTCAGTAAGCAGGAACATTCTGCTGAAACTAACAAGTTGGAATTAACAAGAAAAGATAGAAAGCCACGTAGTCAGTTTCAAAAATTCAATAGCATAAGTACAGGATGACAAAAAGTTGTAATTTTCACATTCAAAAAGATCCTACTGACTCTTCAATTAACCTAAAGTTTCATTCAATATCCTAAACTTCTCACTGAGCACTAAGCACCATGTAGGCACTGTGGGACCTTACCATCTGATGCACTTGCAAGCGCAAACTTGTTGGTCTATAATGTGCAGCTGAAGGGAGAAAACATGTCCACTGACTGAATTGCATTGGGAGTAGACACAACATTCTGAGAAGGTCAGTCATATTTGATAAAGTGGCCTATGGAAGAGAAAGACTAGATCAGTGAGTGACAGAGAAACCAGGCTGTACAGAAATATTGAGTAACCACAGGATGTTTAGTCTAAAGAAGAAAAGATTATAGAACTTTGATGGTTATTTTTCAGCATTTAGACACCTATTATGTGACTACAGGGAAGACTTAAGACATTTTGGGGGTTATTTCCGTTGGACCAATCGGGTGAAAGTTAGAGGGACAGATTAGTTTTGATGGCTTCAAAAGTTTTCCTGCCAGCTTCAGGAAAGGTTGCCTCTAACGATACCTCACCCCATGAGCAATCCAGCAGAAGCAAATTGACTGCTTTTTCCGGAAAAGTTAAATTTTTTTTGATTGAAAGATGTGGGGTATAATTCAGGATTAGGTATAAAAGTGGTCATCATACAGGTAAAGTTTGGGTTTCCCTTTGGTCCCCATTTCGTCTAGTTTGAGATCAGGTCCCTTATTGATGTTGTGTGCTCCCCCTCCTCCCCTGGCAGTGCCCTGCTACTGCCAATCCTTTTCTTTATTTTTATTTGTTAATTCAACAAATTTTTATTGAGGTGTTCTGAGAAAAATTAATGTATAATAAATTTATTCACTGATTAAATAAATTAGTACCTGGAAGTGATATGAGGGCTAAATCAAATGTGTGTCCTTCCTTCAAAAAACACAAAATTTTGAATTAACACTAAATGTGTATAGAAAAGACAACAGAAAAATAGAAGCAAAACCCTACCAAATTAACAATCAGAACTTTTTGTAATTCTATTAGTGGATAATTTTCTTAAGGCAAACACTCGACGAGCAAGCTGAAGATTGTGGGCTACCTGAAGAATGCATCATTAAGCCATATGTGAAACTAGTTGACCATATGTGTTCTCATTGATTCACCTTTAGTTTTCTTTTTTTTCTTTTCTCTACAAGTTTATTCACAATCATAGAGACAAAACATTAAATTTTTCATCATTAAATATGCAGGCAGCTTTGATAAAGTTTGTCAAATTGAGGATACTCCTAACTTGCTGAGTTTTGGTTGTTTTGTTCTGTTGTTTTCTTTTTCTTTTATTTTTATTTTAAGGGCGTGGAGTACAATTCAGGATTAGATATACAAATAGTCATTGTACAGGTAAAGTTTGGGCCTCACTTTGGTCCCCACTTCACCTGGTTTGAGATCAGGTACCCTTATTGATGTTATCCCCCCATCCCAGCAGTGTCCCGGTACTGCCAATCCTTTTCTTACAGTATTATGATAATTGCTCAGGGTCTACTTATGAGTAAGAACATGTGGCACTCAGTTCTTTGTTTTCTGTGATGAATCACTGAATATTATAGACTCGAAATCCATCCAAGTTGCTGCAGAGTTCATAATTTTGTCCTTCTTTATGGCTGTGTAATATTCCTTTGTGTATATGTACCACATTTTTTTAATCCAGTCCAGTCTCAACAGGCAGTACGGTTGGTTCCATGTTTTTGCTATTGTGAATAATGCGGCAATAAACATACACGTGCAGGTATCTTTTTTGCAGAATGCTTCAATTTCCTCTGGCTATGTTCCCAGTGGGGGGATTGCTGGGTCAATTTCTAGTTCTTTTAGAAATCACCACACTGTTTTCCACAGAGGTTGAATTAGTTTGCATTCCCACCTACAATGTAGAAGTGGTCCCTTTTCTTCTCATCGTGGACAGAATCTGTTATTTGTTTTGGTAATGACGGCCATTCTTACTGGAATTAGGTAGCATCTCAGTGTGGTTTTGATTTGTATTTCCCCAATGATAAGTGAGGTCGAGCACTTTTTCATTTGTCTGTTACAGGCTGTCCATATGTCTTCTTTTGAGAAGTGTCTATTCGTGCTATATTTTGTCAGTGATTGAAATGGATAATTTCTGAGGATCCCTCTGATGTCATTTTTTTTCCTTTTTATTTTCCAAATTAAGTGGGAAGTAATAGGACTTTTCATAGACCTTCTTGAAGACTTCAGACCTGCAAGAAATTCTCTAGCTTACAACTAATGAGTTTGCTTCCCCACATTTGCTGGGTGAAAAAACCTTGACTTAGTTGACAGAAGTATACTCCAACCATTAAATTACACTGCTGATCCACTTAGGATAAAATAATTATTACAACCTAAACTGTGTCTCCATTCATTCACCACTTGGACATGTAAATAAGAGAGTGGACCAGAATGTACCAGAAGGGGAAAATCTTGCCTCAAAGTGAGGTAAATGGTGAGAGGAAGTTGACAGACCAGAGCCTAAGGCGGTGGAGCACATATCAAGAGGGAGTAATGGCTCCCAGAGCAGTGCCAGAGGAAGGGAGGTGGCTCTCAGCTCCCTGGAGCTTCCCTAATATTTACTGTGGTAGTGTCTCCCAAGCTTCACAGTCAAAGCCAGCATCTTCCGGACAACTGCTATGTTTTTAGGTGTGCCCAGATGTCATCAGCTAAGAAGAGGAAGAGTCACTACATCCTCAGCTGGCCATTTCTGTTGTTCACTTCTGCCCAAGGAACATTTTGGCCAGGAAGTTGCCTTTACTACAACAAAATATACAGTTCTAGGGGAAAAGACCAATGAAATATCTGTCAGTAAGTTGCTGTCACTGAAAACTGTGAATTTGTCTCTTTATTTTATGCCAAATAAAATACAAAATTTTGGCATCGTATCAACCTGCCTGAAGTTTCACTGTTTAGAAGGGGGCAGTCTTACCGATTTAATATTTTTTTAGGTTGACAAGTTTACTTACATAGGTATACTTATTAATAGGTTTCATATTTATGAAGGTAGACAAGCCCAGTTTTAGTTATTACATAAACTAGAAGTCATATTACAGTGAGACAATATATCTTGTTTTTAAGTTGAGGTGCTTAAATAATCAAAAAAGAATTTTGAATGACACTAATAGCTACTCAGAAAAACTGGCTAAAACAGAATTAAACTAAAATATAAAATTGGCTGTATGATTGTAGAATTATGAAGACTTTACAGGACTTCAGATAGTTGCTAACAGTGATGCTGCTATTCATTGAGCAGGAAATATAAGTAATATTTATGTTCATGTCTGGTAATTTCATCAAGCTAAAGAACTGTAATTTATAAAAGGGCAAAATCTGGTCAGGTGCAGTGGTTCGTGCCTGTAACCCCAAAGCTTTGGGGGAATAAGGCAGGAGAATTGCTTGAGGCCAGGAGTTCAAAGCTGCGGTGAGCTATGATTACACCGCTGAACTCAGGCCTGGGTGACAGAATGAGATCCTGTCTCTAAAAATAAATAATAACAATAATGATAATAATAAATAAAGGAACACAGTCTGATAAAGGTGTTGTATATATAAAAGTATGTATAATGAGAAACATTTGATTTCTTATGAAGCCAAGTACCTTCTAATCCAATGACAAAGGTATGCTGAGCAGCCAGTGATGATAATGGTGATGACCAAGGGAAAAATGCCATAGTCAATTCCCTTTTTCCAATTCATTTAAGGACCCACCCACTATTGTGTACCCATCACACCCAAAGACTAAGTTAGTTTCCATATATCATACTCGCATAAACCATTCCAGGGTAGACTTTCTTTCTTACTTGTAAAAAGAGCAAAAATTCACAGATGAGCTTTATTTGGTTAGTCTGCTTCAATCGATTTTACTCCAAATGTATAAACCATTTTAACATAAGATGAATGATAAGACACTTGAGAAGTAATATGAATAATTCAGCTACATTGGATTCATTTAACCATCACAACAACCTTACAAAGTAGCTACTGTTTTTATCCTGTTTTAACAGAGGAGAAAACTGAGAGTTTTAAGGAACTTGGCTAAGATCACACAGTTAAAAGGAGGGATTTGAACTTAACCTGGCTGCTTCCAAGGTCCAAGTGTTTAACCACTAGTCTATACCATCTTCCCAGTAATGGTACATAGGTAAAATTAATCAAGTGCCTACTGTATAGCAGGAGTTGTGTGAGGTCCTTCATATACATTAAAATCTTATATAACTTTACTAGATGGGACATTTGGACTACATAAGTAAGAGGGATAACCAAAGCATCATTAGGTCAACTGTTCCATGTGTCTTTGGCATACACCCTGGCTTAGATGTCTCTGTGTTACTTGCTATGGCAGTAGCAAAATCAAATTATCTTTATTATTTCTTCCTTGCAGAGGTGGAATGGTCCAAACCAGTGAGCAGTATGAATTTGTGCATCATGCTCTATGCTTGTATGAGAGCAGACTTTCAGCAGAAACTGTCCAGTGAGTCACTGAAGACTTAACAGATCATCAATCTCTTCGGGTGGTTAATCAAATTACCCACTTGAGGCTTCTAGAAGGAGCTTCCTGCAATGGAAGGAAAGATAAGCTCTGAAGCCAACCTGTGGCATGGATTGTGGAAGACTTGGCAATATATTTAGGATTGCCAGCCCCTTGTGTACATGAATGCATTTGTAAGCATCCCCCAAATTATTTTGAAGGTTCTATGCTGGTGGAGGTATGATAGATTTCTCACACAGCCTAAGGCAGGTTTTGTTTTGTCTATTCTGACTCCATCTGCCACACAGAATGTATGTATGTAATAATCAGTGATAAATGTCATCAGGTGATGACCTGAAGAGCTGCTGAAGACATTCTTATTATGTGTTTAGATGCTTTAATATTTGCAAAATCTGTCTTGTGAATGGACTGTCAGCTGTTAAACTGTTCCTGTTTTAAGTGCTATTACCTTTCTCAGTTACCAGAATCTTGCTGCTAAAGTTGCAAGTAATTAATAATGGATTTTTAACAAATAAGTCTTTGTTTTAAAAAAAAAATCAAAAGCAGTAAATATTTTATATGGAAATGTGTCTTGATTATATTACCTATTAAATGTGTATTTATAGTACCTCTTTATTAATCAATTACAGAGCACAATGATTGTCATTGGGTATATATGTATTTACTCTCTATTATGGGCATAGAGTTGGCTTCTGTTCCAGGACTCTATCCACTGTATTTCTACATCGTAAGTCGTTTTACTTTAAAAAGGAAAACAAATTTGTAGCAACCATAGGTATCAAGAATTTTAAATACTTGTCTCTTTTACTGAGAAGGGACTTCTGAATATACCATCTACCTGGAATCTCTCTCCCAACAAAAGGCAGAAGCCTTTGAGAATGATGTAACCTGTCCCATTTCCAGAAGTTCTTTATTAGGGTACTGCCATGTATGTCCTTAAATTTCTAAAGGGTTTTAATCCTTAAGAGACAAATAAAATTAAAGTAACTACCCTCAGCAAACATTAGATGTTCTGCTTGAAATATGAATTTTTAATGCAGCAATGTTGACTTTGTTTCATACTGCCAATAAACTACTCTTAATTCTAAATATTGAGTAAAGCATATCCTTCTTTTTTTTTTCTTTCTTTCTTTCTTTTTTTTCCCCCTCTTTGGAAAGAGACCAATATCTGTTTGGGGAAGCCTGAAGTAGATAATGCAATGGGTATTAATCTCTGCATCTCCCCAGTGGAGATGACGATCTCAAAATGTAATATTGTTATCACTGAGAGATAATGATCTAGAAGTGCTATCATTATGTGGTTTTCCTCAATAGACTTCCAGCATATCATTATACAAACAGTACATGTTTATGTCTTTATATCACTTGTCATAGACCCTCATAAATTACATGGTTTATGTTTATTCAGCAGAATCACATCACCTGAAGAGATGTAATGTTTTAGGAACATTCAATTATCTAAGATGACAATTCTTTTCTTCCCTCTTGAGGTTAGAAATAGTCACGTGCCAAAGGGAAGGTAGGTGAAGACTTAATGAGTTTTATGCTGCTTCTGGAAGCTGGAATTTTTTCTACATTAAAAAAAAGAGAGAGAGAGGTAATCATAATCCCTTCTTTCTAAGGAAACAGACAAAAGGACACTGGTGTAAAACTTCCCCAAACAATTCAATAGGAGGAAGTGCTCGTCACTGACTTTTTCCCCCACCATGAAGGCATGTTTCCTTCCTAGTCTTTGCTTCTCTTATCTGGGAGAATTTTTTTTTTTTCCTCAAGCGAAGCATGAACAGTTGTTAAGTGGAAAATGGAGGCTGAATTTTACGTGGTAATTCTTACCTGCTTGATCTTCGGGAACTCAGGTGAGTGGGTTTGCCGCAGTTTGGTGAAACGTTTTTCCCATATCTAGCGGAGAAGTCTCTGGTCTTTAAAAAGTGTCTAAAATAAGGTAGAAATGAAGCCAGATCTCTATGGCAGTTTCACCAAAGGCGATGAGGAGGGGGAGTAAAAGGAGCCAGCTGTGCCTACACTGTTGAGATTTCTCTACAAAAGAAAATAAATGCTCTCCTTGCCTCTTCCAAATGCTTCGGGCAGCTTCTGAAATGGCACATTTTCAGCGGAGAGTAAAGAACCCTAAGAAAAATTTTTTTGTTATTATATAACAGTCTGTGGCATTACCCATGCCTTTTTTCAGTCAGGTTATAGTTTTATTTTCTTTTGTGTTAAAGAAAGAAAACAGAAGAAATATGATTAAAGGGGGTGAGGAAATGTGGTGTGTTTTATTTGGAAGTTTTTATCGGAAGAGCTGAATATTTTCATGGGAGAGCTGGACACCTTAAGAAAAGCTCATTGAAAATGGTTTCTGAGTCTAAATATCTTACTCTTTAATGCTATTGTTTAGCAATTAGGTGTTTAATTTTCTTACATCGAAAATGCTGATTTTTAAAAATATGTTTTATTTGAGGGAAAACTGTACAGATTGTCACAAAATCATTTTTCTCCAAGACTATAGGAAATTTAGTTTATGATAATCAATACTCTCATTACTTGGAGTAATGAGAAAATTTGGGGTTTTTAAAAATAAATATATGCAATTTTTAAAAAATTTTATTCAGACTATGAAATTTGTATACAAATATTTGTTGCAATGTGAACTTAAGGATTGAAAATGGGGGTGCCTTTTTAGAGCAGGGGAGGAAGGTGATATGGAAAGAGTCAAATGGTTAAAAAAGGAACTAAGCATTTCAGGGTATTTAGTTCATTGGGCTAAAATTTCACACCATATTCTTTGGATAGTTTTGTTTCCTTTCCAAGTTTTCTTTCATTTTCCAATGAGGGATTTGTTTTTTTCTTTTCCTAACCCATGTGAAAGTTAAAAAAAAAAAAAGGAGAGGGAGGGTGGGGAGCTAAGTGTGACATTTTGACATTATCAGCTTTGAGATTTTAAATCTCGTGTTAAATCTGTGAATATTCACTTGAAATGGCAGCAATAGCAAAATATAAGTAAAACTAGTGATTTTACTTAGCTGATTTGTGGGTGGGTTATTTTGTTTTCTAATGGGCCTTATAATTTACTACACAGTAAATTATACTTTTCATCTTCCAGAGAGGTTTCAGATTGTCCATGTCCGGAAACAACAATGTCTTTTCATACACGAGAAAGTGGTCATGGGTTCATGCAATAGGACCATGCAGAGCCAGCAGTGGATGTGGACTGAGGATGGAAAGCTCCTTCATGTTAAATCTGCACTATGCCTGGCCATCTCCAATTCCTCTCATGGCCCTTCCCGTTCAGCCATCTTGGCCCGCTGCCCCCAGGCACCCCGATGGACCTGCTATGATCAGGAAGGGTTCCTTGAAGCGGAAAATTCTTCCTTTTTCCTCAAGAAACAAGGCCCCAGGGTAGTGGTTAAAAAGGACAGGAAATACCTCCATAGCTGGATGAAAATAGATGTCAACAAGGAGGGAAAACTGGTCAATGAAAGTCTCTGCTTTAAAAAAGGTGAGCTACCTCCTTTCAGAATCAATTCTGAAAGTCTTTCTGCTAAATATCTTCGTCTTTTTACAGTCAAGGAAAGACCACATGCCCCAAGACATTTCCTACAGAAGATTCAGAAGCTAACAGAAGTGGATTGTGTGGTGCCCAATGACAGAAAACTTCATTATCCTTATTCAAATAAGCTGACTTTTGTCTTTCCCTAGCTCACTCCTCCTTCCCTTTTTTCCTTGCTTCTTTTACTGATCTTTTTTTGCCAGACACTATGGTCAAGTACTGTTAGATGCAAGAATATGGATCTAGGTATATACACAGTATGTGTAATGACTCAAGTCATTACAGAAAATTACTAGATTTTGTTGATATAGACAATTTTAGTCTCTGATTATAAGGAACTACTGGAACATCAAAATGGTGCTTGATAAGACTGGGAAAATAATATGTGCTTTTGAAAATCTCTTATATTGATATTTAGAGGTAGTTGCCTTTCAGAGGAGGTAAGAATGAAATGGTGAGTCAGTGTGCAGCCACTGATTTTTCTAACTTACTGACCGTTAATGGATCTAACCCAAACGATGAACACATAAAAACTTGTATACCCATGCACAAGTTCCTTCTGCAAGACACAATTCAGTCCTGAGCTAGAAATTTTTTCTTGTGAAATAGATATGCAGTTTAATCTTCTCTTTAAATTAATCATATTGTTGCATATTTATTCTTCTATCAGAGGTTTGCTTTAGGGAGTCATGAAGGATAAAAGTGACAGAACCACAATATGTTAGGCACCAATAGACCTTAAAAATTTTGGGAGAAGCCGGGCTCGGTGGCTCAACCTGTAATCCCGCACCTTTGGGAGGCTGAGGTGAGTGGATTGCCTGAGCCCGCGGGTTCGAGACCCGCCTGGGCAGGCGAGACCTCATCTCTACAATAAATCAAAAAATCAGCCAGACGTGGTAGCACGCGCCTGTAGTTCCAGCTACTTGGAAGGCTGAGGCAGAAGGATCACTGGAGCCCAGCAGGTCGAGGCTGCGGTGGCCGGGAGCGGCCACCACACTCCAGTCTGGGCTACAGAGTGAGACTCCAACTCAAAAAAAAAAAAAAGAAAAAATTTGGGGAGAAAATATCTAAAATGAAGCTCCTTACTGAGAAGACTTAAATTTGTCAAGATTAAGTAAACTGTCCCAGATAAAGTAATAGCAAATGTATGATTGGAACTTAATTTTCTTAACTACTTGTCCAGTGTGCATTCTGTTACACCAGTGGTTCCCAAATGCTTGACCAAAGACTTTGTTCCACTGGTTGCATAAGAATCACCTGGGGAGAAGAGGGAGGGCTTATTACAAATACAGATTCCCAGAATTCCTTTCCACCATTTTCTTCTCTACAACCACCTCAAGATTCTGTTTCAGAAACTCTGGTTTTGTGCATAATACTTGATGCTTTCTAAAAAGCTCCCCAGATAATTTTGATCCATAATCCTTATGAGAATCAGCATCCACTGTACCCTTAAATCTTTTTCTTAGGTGTTGACTTTTGAGGCTCATATTAGACTTTCTACCATGTTAATTTTTGGACAGTTTTCTGTCAGTTATTAATTTCAAAATGAAACGAGCATTTAATTAGATACCAATTAAATGCAGTGGTCTCTTCTACAGTAAAAGTTGAGAATTATAGCTTCTGTTCTTATATCATTGGCTAAGAGAATAAAATAAAAATATAAAAGTTAATTATAAAATTCAACTTTATCAGAAAACATACTGTATATGGCACCAATTTGTACAATTCCTTTCCTGTGGTTGATCTATCCAGTCCTGTCCTAAACAACATAGAAACATTGTAAATATTCCATTTGTACTGTTATATACAGGAAGTGAATTTCATCTCCAATCAAAACTTATTTAACATAAGATTATTTAGTTGAAACTCAAAAGGAAGTAGATAATGATTTAGTGGAGACTTATTCAAGACAAAGATCATTCATGGATAAACTGTCTCCTTTGACCCTCATAAAAAATATGTCCAGTTATATACTTCATTTCAAAAGTAAAGTGTATAGACTAGACCATTTGCAATTTATCACTGAACTTGCCCTATTCCTACATGCCCAATAATATGCACTGGGGAAAAAAATAGATTTCTGAAAAATGCAGAATTAAAATTTGCACAATTAGGGCACACACACACACACACACACACACAAACCCTTATATTTAACTTACATAACTATAACACAGACTTTTGCTTTAACACAATTGTAAGCTAACAGACACATTTTTCTGCTCCATCTTAAACTTACCATTGATTAAAGATTAATAATGGTATTTGTAGACCTATAGCATGAAAAGTAACTGATTTGTTAGAGAATCCACTGTGAAAAATTAACTAAAATAAATTGATATGTTTTCAGTGAATAACTCCAAAAGCACTTTTTAAAATGTATTTACTTGGCCGGGCTCGGTGGCTCAGCCTGTAATCCCGCATTTTGGGAGGCCGAGGTGCGTGAATTGCCTGAACCTGCGGGTTTAAGACCTGCCAGGGCAACATGGCAAGACCTCATCTCCACAATAAATCAAAAAAATTAGCCGGGCATGGTAGCACGTGCCTG